TTGACCAATCCCGGACAATATAACCACGAGGTTTCCTCAGTACCTAAAACATCAATACAAGGCACGCCCACCAACACACACACACCAAGAGCACTGCAGAGCAGGGCAGGGCAGCGCCCCGGGCCCCTTTTAAGTGCTGCTGTTTGTAGTTTTTTTTTGTGTTTGCCGCCTCCTCCTCTTTCTCCTCCTCCTCCTCCTCCTCCTCCCCCTGGGCCGGCGCGGAGGGAGGTCGGGGGAGGCCCCTCGGGGCTCGGCAGCCCCACCAAGTCACACGCAGCCCCCCAGACCTCGGGTGTCACTTCCTGAAGGTGCTCTCGGGGATGCTCAGGGTGCGGCGCCGGAGTTTCCTGCCCGACCCCTCCTCCAGCAGGTAGGTGACGTCGATGGCTGCGAGAGAGAACGAGCTCAGGGTGAGAAAAAAGGAGGGGAAAGTGGGAATTGCTGCGCCGTCCTTAAGGTGGTGTGATAAGTAAAGGCACCGGTTTTATTCCAAGCAAATTAAAATAAACGGGGGGGTACTAACAAAAAGAACTATTTCTGTGTATTTACTAACTTACAGGCGTACTGTGGAGTCTGTAAGGTGAAGGGTCCTGAGGGGCACGTCCTGAACACAAGGTTCAAGGAGCAGCTCTCCTGTTTGTTCCCGGTTATTTTGAAGGGTGTTTCCAGCCACAGGGATATCCAATATCCAGATATATCCAAAGCACCCAAGAGGGAATTTAGCCCTGAGCCGTGGCTGGACCAGACAACCCCCAGAGATCCTCCCAGCCCCAATTATTCATCAGTCCAAGCCCGTCTGGCAGTGCCAGAACGTGGGAGAGACTGGACAGGGCTCATCCCAGGCTTTCAATTAAAAGCCAAGGAAAGGTCAAAAGAGACTTTCCAAATTGTCATCTTGGCATGTCTGTTGATTCCTCAGCTGTAAACACAGATTGAGGGGGGGATTTTGTCCACAGAAATGTTTTTAAAAAATATTACGCAAAAATATTATACAAAAATATTACACAAAGCAGTGTAAAGGGGTGAGAAATTTCACTGGGGTTTTAATTGGATTTCTGTTCCTAAGGCCCACTAGCAATAAATTAATTAAACAAAAAAAATAAATAAATAAATTTTGTTTAAATAAATAAATAATTAGACAATTTTAAAATAAATCACAATAATTTTATCAACGCAGCACCCAGCGAAGCAAACCCAGAGCTGAGCCTGAACTCTCACCGTTTTTCCCTGGGATTTTCTCTAAGAGGTTGAGCAGGATCTGGTTCAGCCTCTCCCTCTGGAGGTGCCTCCTCTCCTCGGGGCTGCAGAGCTGCCTCGTGTCCGAGGGGGTTTCCTCCCCCTTCTTCTCTGCCTCGCAGCCCTCGCTGGGCAGCGGCTCCTTGTCGGGCTCCTCGGGGCCGGGCAGCTCCCCTGGCACCTGCTCTGGGGCTCCCAACACCTCCTCCATGAGGGGCAGAGCATCCTCCTCTTGGTTTAAGTCCTTGATCTGTGGTTTTGAGCGATCTGATTTCCAGGATGACCTGGAGGAGGGAGGGGTTTGAGAGATTTTTTTCCAGATACTCCTCCAAGAGGCCAATTCCCTGCTCCGAGGGCAGGAACTCATCACTTCCCTCACCCCCCCTCCCCAGGTCCTACCCCACCAAAGGCAGCTGTGACAAACAAACGGCCTCTCAATTCCCTTTGGGAAGGTTTTCATCTCCAGAAGTTCGGCCCAGCCCTTAGTGGGGTTTTCCTGGAAGAGTCACGGCCCTTGAAGGGGGTTTTTAAAGCCCAGCACAACTGGGATCTGGGCTCCTCCATTTGGGAATCCATCTCCACACTCAGCTGCTTTTGCTGACTTTCAAATGGCTCCTGTTCTCTCCATGATGTTGCATTATTAAGGAACACTCCCCTAGTCTCTCTCCCTCCTCCCTTTCATCTCTCCGGAAGTTTAGAGAGCTTTAAATAATTGAAACTCCCGATTTCCACAAGCCCCGGGGGAAAACGGGCAGGAGGAGAGTGAACACAGCAAACAGGATCATCTCATCTCATCTTTTCTCACCAAACAATCTGGGAGGTGCCACTCACCTGCCTCCGTTTCTCTTGTAGTTGTCTGGCACGTAATGAGGCTGCAACAGCAATAAAGATCGTGGTTAATGCCAAACCAAAGCCACAGTGCTGGTCTGTCAGACACCCTGGAAATACCAGTGCAGGACAACCTGGGAATGCTGGTGTGTCTCACACATCAGACAGCTCCAAAGGAGAAGGAACAATCATGTCATTAAGGATAAATCAGAGATAAATCAGAGCCAGGCTTCTTTGATTTTTTTCCTACCTTCTAATTAAATTTCAAGCCGCAGCCCATCACGACACAAATCTCCAAAACCCTGTCCAGCCTTTCTAACAACAGGCCAGGGAGCTGAGAGAAGCCCCCCACTTACTGAGAAGTCTCTCTTGGGAGTGAGTTTCTTGGGGAAGTGGTCGAAGGCGTAGGGCTTGGTGCACACGGGGTAGCGGTTGCGGTGGATCTTGTAGAAGAGGTGAGCTGACTTATCCAGGCGGTAGTCACAGATGTACACATCCTGCTCCTTCACCCCCTTGGGCCTCCCTGGGGGGGTTCAGGACAGAGCAGACAGGGGAAAAAGCAGCCATCAGATTGAGGGGGGAAACACGTGGTTTTTGCCCCAGCCCAGCGCTGGAGTGTCGGGGTGTCCCTGCCTGCCCTCCTTCAGAGTCATGACAGGACACGCTGCTGGTGCAATTCAAGGGCAGAATCCACATACTCTGATCAAACAGCACCCAAAACTTCCCACAAAAACAATTATCAACTTTCTCTTCCCTGCCCCACCACAATTCCAGCAGTGCTGTCCCTTCTCAAAACAGGAATCCCTGTCCTGGGGTAAAGCCATGGTGTGTCCTGGGCTCCAGAACAAGCAAACATCCCCCAGAGCCTCTGGACAGCAGGATTGTTTCAGTGCATGTCGCTGGGATAAAGTGAATTTTGCCCCAGTAGCTGGTTCAGCTGTTTTTGGGGATGAGGATAATGTTGGTCGCACCCTGATGTTGGTGCTCAGTTCTCACCCTCAGCCCAGGCATTGGGTGGGGACTGAACTGGGCTTCCTGGGGCTTATTCATGGAATCATGGCATGGTTTGGGTTGGAAAGGACCTAAAGACCGTCCTGTTCCAACCCCTGCCACAGGCAGGGACACCTTCCACTGTCCCAGGCTGCTCCAAGCTCCACCCAACCTGCCCTTGGACACTCCCAGGGATCCAGGGGCAGCCACAGCTTCTCTGGGCAACCTGTGCCAGGGCCTGCCCACCCTCCCAGGGAAAGATTTCTTCCCTATATCTAACCTTAATTTCCCCTCATCTAACCTAAATTTCCCCTCTTTCAGTTTGAAGCCATTCCTCCTCGTCCTGCCACTCCAGTTCCTGATGGAGAGTCCCCCTCCACCTTCCCTTTAGCCACTTCAGCTACCAGATACCTCTCTCTGTAATCTCCCTTTCCTTCACTACTACTGCTATTATTATTATTATTATTACATTTTATTTCAAGCAACTATCCCCATCCCAACCCCTGGGGTTTTACCTTTTTCCACCCTCTCATCCCACCGTGGGGGTTGAACCCACGAAGGCCCCAAAACTCCCACAAACTCGCCCCGTGTTTTGCCACCCCCCTCACCTTTGCAGTAGGTGTAGAGGTCCAGCACGCAGCACGTGCCCACCACAGCCTCCAGGGGGATGATTTCGTAGAGGGGGACCCGGAACAGCTCGTTGTGGTAGAACTTGCGGGACGGGGAGTGGTGGGTTTCGTGCGGACGGAAATAGTGGTGGCCGAAGGCAAAACGCTCCTCCCTGGGGAAGGGGGGCAGAAAAAAGGGAGTGGGGGACAGAAATGAGCCCCTGGTATGCCCTGCTCCATTCTGAACTGTCTCTCTTGCACTTGAGCAGTGATTGTGGTGGGAAGTGGAGTCCCCATGGGTGTTCCACGTCACCCCTGCGGTCGTTCACGGGCGGGCAGGGCTTTGGTCACAGGAAAAGACGGTTCAGGATCTGCCCGTCCTTGTCATCCAGTGGGATCCTCTGTGTGCCACGGGAGGTGAGAGCAGCACGAGACAGACACCCCGTGGGGTTGCAGAGCAGCACGATCCCTTTGCTGGTTTGCACACAACAATTTCTGGGGCTCCCTTTGCCTTTTGTCTTGTTTCTCCTGTGTTTCCATTGAACACCCCACGGGCACAGCACTCTGTGGCTGGGACTGATTGTGCTGCTGTCACAGGCACTGAACCACCTCACAGCTGCCCCTGAGAACCCCCAGCCTGCTCCAACACTGAGGAAAGCCCAACAACCTCAGCCTCAAACCTCCGAGCTCCCACCTTTCCCACCCTGCAGCTGTGGAGCACAAGCAGAGACAAGGTGCTCACTCCTGCCTTTTTAAGACTTTTTTTTAAGACTTCCTTGGAAATCCCTGTGCCCTGGCAGGTTGGGGGGAACTCACTTCTCGTTCTTCCAGAGCTTCTCGATGCGGAAGATGTCGAGCTTGTCCCTGTTGATGTGGGACAGCAGCCGGTACGACTGGCGCACGGGGTGCCCGTCGGGGGTCCTGCGGCTGTCTCTCATCAGGTACACGCAGTCACCTGGCAGAGGGCACACAACACACACCTGTGAAGGGCTGGGCATGTTTGGCAGCTCCCCAGAAAACCAGAGGAGTAAATAAAGGTGCCGTCAGAACCAACACCAGAGGTCCCTCAGGTTGGATTATAAAGAACGAGGCAAACCCGCTGCAGAACCTGTGATGCTTTCTCACAACAGTTTTACAGAGGAAACACCCCTTAACTTTCCATGCCCAGACTGAAAACAACCTGTAAGGCATCAAAATCAGTGATGACAGGCCAAGGGGTACGGAACAAAGCCGGCTGGGATTAGGGAAACGTGCAGGAATTAGCGGTGGCTGCAATGTTTAAGGAATGAATCTTGGAGAGAGAAGATACTTAAAAGGGGAAGATCATTATTGAGAAAATAAATCCTGGCCCCAGAAGCCCTCAAGCCTTTGGTTATTCCAGCAGAATTCCAATGAGATGCAGAGCTCAGGGAAGGCAGAGAATGCAAGGAGGGCTGAACAAAATGGCACCGCTGGCAACTCAACAAGCCTTTGCCAAGTGCAACCCCTGAACTTCTCTTTATTAATTTTGTCCCCTGAGTGAATGAACTCTTTAATTTCTCTGCTCTGCTCTGTGAAATCTCAGAATGGCCTGGGCTGGAAAGGAGCTTAAAGACCATCTCACCCCACCCCCTGCCATGGGCAGAGACACCTTCCACTATCCCAGGTCGCTCAGAGCTCCATCCAACCTGGCCTTGGACACTTCCAGGGATTGGGAAGAAATTCCATCTCTTGTTATTTCCCTCACAATGAACAAAAACCTGGGAGGTCCTCTCCAGCACAAAAAAAAACAAACCCACGTGAGAAACCCAGTGGCTGAACTCTGGACAGGACAGTGCAGAGCAACCACCACCAAGGAGGACTGAATGAAACTCCAGAATCCTGCAAATGGGATAAAGAAGATGCTGTTCTTTGACTTTTTTTTAAATTTTTTTTAATTCTCCACTTTCCCTGAAGTCTCTTCTATTTCCCTCTAGCAAACATATCAGCTGGTTTTACTCATTCAAGAGCAGCTCCCTCATAATGATGAAGGCTTCTTTCTAACCTTGTGTGTGTCTGCAGGATGAATTAAAGAAGGACTTATCAGTGAACCGAATTATGTGGCTGTGGCAGCTGCCTGGGAGAGATTTGGGGCTTCAGAGCACCGTCCAGAGAGATTAAGCTGCAGGGAACACACAAAGCAACGAGCTGGGTGCTTTAATGACCATCCTGCACCAAAATACTGAAGGTCTAACAGCCTTCTTGGCCTTTACTCCTAAATGTTAACTACCAGCAGCTGGCTCAGCATCCTCCTCCCCTGGCCAGAGGAGTCTGCACTCGGGGCAATTAACATTTCTCCATCAAGAGCTTTCACTGTGTGGCACTCCCAGCATCGCTGAGAGAAGCTTCCAGTTGTGAAAACTCCAAGGGTTTTTTTGAGGGGGTGGTGGCAGAGATGCCAGCACGTACCTTGGCGGAGCAGCAGGTCGTCCCTCAGCAGGCAGATGTAATAAACACAGCCAGGCTGGGCATAGTGGGGGCGAGGGATCATGGGCACCTCCTGCACGGAAACACACACACACACAAAAAAAGGAGGGAGTAATCCTGAGCTGCCCAACGTCATCAGTCCCAAAATGGAGCTGAAAACACTTTTGGGAACGTGCAGAGAAGAAGCGACCCCTCACAGGACTAAGCTGAGGCAGCTGCGGTGAGTGAGACGTTTAAAAAGTGAGAAAAATCAAGAGAAATGTAAGAAAGCGAGAACCCAACATTTAGCAGCCCCGGTAAATGCAAAAGCAAGAGCTGCTTTAGTCTGTAAGTGTGTTAAGGAAGGAGGGCTTACCCTGTTCACAGCCCGAGGCTCACACTGCTCACACAGGTAGTGTTCCACGTCTGAGTTCACACCCATGCAGTCACAGTGCTGCCAGACCTGGGGAAACAGGCACAGCCCGGCTCAGCTGGGGACTCCTGGCACAGGCTGCGTGTACAAACTGCATTTTCTCATAAAAACATTAAGGGGGAGCACGGCAATGAGCTTGAGAAAGGAAAATCAAGACGTTCTTTGAACTATTTGACACCACATCAGAAGGCGGACAGGATCCCCTGGCAACTGCCTGTGTAAAGGCCCGAAATTGTTGAATTTAATTCCTCTCTCCCAAGGGCAGGAGCTGTGGCAGTTCCAGCTCCTCCACACAGAAATGCAAGTTGCATTTGCTGTGTGAAAAAACAGCATCTCCACTCTTTTGGAGAGGAAAGGAGGGGATGGAGAGGCAATTCATGCTACTGCATGGAAACTGCTGGTTATGAAGAAGAGGAAAAGAGATCAGATTCCATTTTGGGTCCCCCCTGCCTCACTATGCGCTTTTCACACTGGATCATCTTTGTAAAGGCCAAAACTGTTGAAATTCATTTCTCCCTCCCAAGGGCAGGAGCTGTGGCAGTTCCAGCTCCTCCACAGGGAAATGCAAGTCGCATTTCCTTTGAAAACAGAACTTCTCTTTTGGAGAGGAAATGAAGGGCTGGACAATTAACTAATGCCACTGAATACATGGAACCTGCTGGTTATGGAGAAGAGAAAAAGAGAGATTCCATTTTGGGTCCCCCCTGCCTCACCATGCACTTTTCACACTGGATCACGAGCCCTTCGTCCTTGTAAAGCCCCAAACTGTTGGAACTCATTTCTCCCTCCCAAGGGCAGGAGCTGTGGCACTTCCAGCTCCTCCACAGGGAAATGCAAGTCGCATTTCCTTTGAAAACAGAACTTCTCTTTTGGAGAGGAAATGAAGGGTTGGAGAATGAACTAATGCTACTGACTACATGGAAACTGCTGGTTATGGAGAAAACGACAGCAGATTCCATTTTGGGTCCTCACCATGCACTTCTCGCACTGGATCATGAGCCCCTCGTCCTTGTAGAGGCCGCAGATGCAGCGGATGACGTCCTCGTCCTTCTCGTGCCCGTTGTCCTTGTCGCACACCGAGGTCTCGCTGCTGTCGGCCTCGCTGGCCGTCTCGCCCACGATCTCGTCGATCTGCGCGGCCGCCTCGTGCCGGGCGCTGTAGTAGGCCTTGCGCAGCCGGCACACGTCGCGGCCCGTGGGGGATTTCCTGCCGTAGTATTTCTGAGGGGATGGGGGGGGTTAAAAACACGCGAGAAGGGTGTGGTTTCCCTCAGGCCTGCGCCCCCCTTAGATGGGAGGGTTCTGCCCTCAGTGCACCCCGAGCAGCAGGGGAGGTGCTGTGGGGTCTAAGGTTGGGCTCGGTGAGCTCAGGGGGTCTTTTCTGACCTCTCCAGAAAGTCCACGTGGGTGGAGAAGGGGTTGAGAAGGACTTGGGGGGTGGTGGGTGACCAAAAAGTCAGCTTTTTGTGCCACCCCTGTGTGCTCACAACCCAGAAACCGAGGGGAGCCTGGGCTGCCTCCAAGGCAGGTCCAGGGAGGGGATTCTGCCCCTCTGCTCTGGTGAGACCCCAACTGAAATACTGAGTCCAGTTCTGGACCCCAACATCAGAAGGACATGGAACTGCTGGAGCAAGCCCAGGGGAACCCATGAAGTTGATAAGGGGGACTGGAGCCACTCCCCTGTGGAGACAGGCTGGGAGAGCAGGAGAGGGATGTTCATCAGGAACTGGGGTGACAGGACAAGGGGAATGGCTTCACAGTGACAGAGATGAAATTTAGGTTGGACATATGAGAGAAATCCTTGTCTGGGAGGGTGGGGAGGCCCTGGCTCAGGTTGCCCAGAGAAGCTGTGGCTGCCCCTGGATCCCTGGAAGTGTCCAAGGCCAGGTTGGACGGGGCTTGGAGCAGCCTGGGACAGTGGAAGGTGTCCCTGCCCAGGGCAGAGGGGTGGGACTGGATGGGTTTTAAGGTCCCTTCCAGCCCAAACCACTCCACGATTCTGTCATTCTGTGACATCTGACACTGAAGAACAAGGGGCTGCTTCCAAAAGGAACTGGAATTTGTTCAGGAGAGCTATTCATGCATATCCTTGACCTTCTCTCTGCCTGAACTAAGGCAGGCAAGGAGCACATCAGCTGCTCTCGGGGGCTCCACAGGAAAAGATCAGCACAAGCTTTTCCTCCTCCAAGGTATTTTTCTCCCTTGGCTACTGCAAGTCAGCAAGAGCACTAGAGGAGGGAGCCTCACCTCTGCATTCCTGAACACCTTCAGCATGTCCCCATCAAAAGCTTCCACAGTTTTGTAGTAGCCAGTCAGGATCTGCTTCTCAATGGTGGCGAGGTCCAAGGGGTCAGAGATCTTCTCGTAATAGTCTGCGTTTCTGCAGGGGGGGGGATGTTGGCACAACGTCACGTTCATTAGCGATTCCAGCTGTGCAAATCCACCAGGGGGATGCTCGGGGATGTTCTGGGAAGGCAGCACTTACTTTTTCTTCGGGGGCAGGTTCAGGAGAGGAGCTGCAAGCGCCTGCCTGGAGGAATCTGCAAAGAGGGACACACAGCTTAGGGACATTCCCGGAGTAAAACTTCGAAAAGACAAGTAACTAACGCTCAATCTGGGTTAAAAAAAAAAGGCTTTTCTGCTAACTGAGCAACGGGAAATGAAAATGCTTCTGCATTCCTAGCTGCAATCAGACTGCAGGTATCAAAATTAAGGACTCTGTCCTTGCAACTCCGAAATTTTGAAAAATCAGTTTTAAAGGACAGTTTTAAAGCACAGCAACATCTGCAGGTTCTGATGGGGGGTTGAGGATAAAGCAAAGTGATTATAGGTAAGGGGGGGAAAATAAAAAAAAGGGTTCTTTATCATCCCATCTTTTTCTGGTATTTTTAATTCTGAGAGTAGAGTCCATTGTTCCAGAGGCCGAAAACATCCCCACGGAGATTTTTTTTTTTTTTTTTTTTTTAAGGAGTGCCAGGTTCCCACCTTTGTAGGATATGATGCTGTCACATATTTCCTTGAAGATCTGTGCCAGGCGGGCAGCACGAGCCACCTCGATGTTCTCCTCGGCCGCCGCCAAGCGCCGCGTCCGCACCGAGCGGGACGTCTGCAGGGCTGAGAACTGGGTCATGAACACGTCTGGGGGAGGGCAGAAAAGAGTCACCTCTAAATAGAAAACCCACCAGGGATCAAATTACAGCATTTCCCCCCCCCTCTGTGAGTATTAAAATTAATGTGTAACAGCACAAGGTTTCGGCTGCCATTCCCAAGTCGGCTCTCGCTGCTCAGCGCTCAACTAAATTTCAGTTTTAATCAGTTTAATCAGCTGGTTATTGGAAGGTTTTATGCTGCTGGAGCAAATAAAACATGTCATTGAGTTCACCCCAAACACTCACTGCCCACATTTTCCTGCACCTGACAGTGGGGGGCCAAATCCTGCCAGTCTGTGAGGGTGATGGTCCCACCAACGGGGCTGGTTTTGGAGCAGGGTTGATTTTTCCCTGATAGTTGATATCTGTCCCACTCCCACAAGTGACTGCACGCCAGAAAGCTCTAAAATTACGAGGATAGATGACAATTTTCAAAGTCAGCACAACTGTTTCTGGTCTAGGGATACAGAGAGCAGGAAACAGCCCTTCTCTGTCAGGGTCCAGCCATGGATGGTCGAGGAATCACAGTTATGGAATGGCCTGGGTTGGAAGGGGTCCTAAAGATCCTCCTGTTCCACCCCCTGCCATGGGCAGGGACACCTTCCACTAGCCCAGGTTGCTCCAAACCCCTGGCCTTGGATACTCCCAGGGATGGGGCAGCCACAGCTTCTCTGTGCCAGGGCCTCCCCACCTTCACAGGGAAGGATTTCTCCCTCATATCACAAAATTATATCCCGGAACCATTTAGAAAAGACCCCCTTTGACCGACCACCAACCTTGTCACCTAGGCCATGGCACAACATTAAATACCACGCTCTGACAACCCCCTCCTGACCAAACACCAGCTGTGACACCTTCTACCAGCATCGAGGAGACTTTTCACCCGAGCAGCATTCCCTGACTGTCTTACCACAGGAGCACGGACCTTGCAGCAGTGACTCTACACCGGATTTACAGAGAGATCAACCCACGGGATCAACACAACCCCGTGTTCCCAAGGCAGCCCCCGAGGAGCCCGCGCGGCCTCACCGGATTTGATGTTGCCGTCGTCGCGGCAGATCCCGTTCCAGCGGGTGTAGAGGGACGTGCTGTGCATGTTGTCGCTGACGTGCTTCACCTCCTCCTGCTTCTGCCGGATCTTCTCCCAGTTCCGGACCAGAAACACGTGGTGCTTCAGCACAAAGTTCCTGCGGGAGTTACAAAAGGGATTCAAGGAACGATTTTTACTGGAAAAAAAGGAATTCCTTAACGTGGGGGAGGAGCTGGGGGTTCAGAGGTGCACTCTGTGCCTTCTCTCCTCAGTGGGGAGGAACTCCAGCCTGGCTGGGTAAAGGGGAACTCAGAGCTGCATCCTCAGGCACTTTGTGATGCATCAGTGTTTGCCCAACACCCCATTTCTGAGCCCAGTCCCCCCCTAAACCTTCCCTTACCTCTCCCTGTTGGACATGGGCTTCATCTGCAGCTGAGGGGTCAGCCTGGTCGGGGCGTTCACACTTTCACTGGGTTCCTCAGGGATGTGGCCCCTCTGGAAAACAGATGGTTCTGATAGACAGGAAAAACCCGTGCCAAGAGCCCAGCAAAGCACTCAAAGCAGTCCCCGAGACAGAGCCTGCAGGATTGCCCTACTGCATGTACAAACACACCAGCTTTTGGTCTGATTTCCCATCAACCTCCACCCACCCAAACTCTGCCTTTAACACTTACCCTCTTCTTCAATTTGTGCTTTGACTTCCTCTTCTCTTTCGACCGCCCAGGCCTCCTGTGGGTGCTCACAGGCTGGTTGCTTTTGCTTGACAGTCCATTCATGCGTTGACTTTTGCCCCCAATTATCCCTCTGCATTTGTCAAAGCCACATTTGCACAGTTGCTTTGGGGAGGGGAAGGAAAAAAAAAAAAATTAAATAACCCCCCCAAACATTTCGATTCTCCCTCAATATTCCAAATACAACACGAGGGGTTTTGTTAATCGACCTTCAGCTTTACAGAGCTGCTGGTCCTCGGGGAGATTTTTTTTAATTATTTTTATTTTAAGGCCTCCCAGTGGGATCTTTACCTGCTTTTCCACGTTAAAGGAGTGGAAGTTGTAGTCGTAGGTCAGCTCAGTCCCAGCAGGCATGTCCTTGAGTGCATAGAGCCCGATCCTATAAACGCCGTTCACGGACCTGCAGGGGAAACACCACCAAACGGGCCCAATAATTACAATAAAATCCTCTCTGCCCACACAGGGGGAGTGTTAGATCTGTTACAGTGAACTCTGAAGGCCGAAAAGTGAACACAACATTTACAAAGGGGAGGAAGTTGTGCTTCAGGAGGAGCTACAAACTGTCCTGGCCGTCACGAGAAATCAACTTGTCCACTGCCAGCACTCAGGCCCCCTCCTGGACTGAAATCTTACACTGGGCATCAAACTCATCTCAGAATCACAGAATCACAGAAAGGTTTGGGTTGGGAGGGACTTTAAAGCCCATCCAGTTCCACTATCCCAAGTTGCTCCAAGCCCTGTCCACCCTGGCCTTGGACACTCCCAGGGATCCAGGGGCAGCCACAGCTTCTCTGCCCAACCTGTGCCAGGGCCTGCCCACCCTCCCAGGGAGGAATTCCTTCCCAATATCCCATCCAACCCTGCCCTCTGTCAATTTGAAGCCATTCCCCCTTGTCCTGGCACTTCAGGCCCTTGTCAGCAGTCTCTCTCCACCTTTCCTGTAGCTCCTGCAGGCACTGGAAGGCCACAATCAGGTCACCCCAAAGCTCCTCTTCTCCAGGCAGAACAATCCCAACTCTCCCAGCCTTTCCTCCATCCCTCTGATCCCCTTGGTGGCCCCCTCTGGACCTGCTCCAACAGCTCCATGTCCTTCCTGAGCTGGGACCCCAGAGCTGAGTCCCCTCCCAAATCTTTCATTCATTTCGTGTTGGGATTTTCAAAATTTAGAACTTGATTACTAGTGCTTAAATCCACCAGAATTATCTGGGAAACACGAGCTACTCTGCTGCACTGTCCCCACAGCGATTCCTGTTACCACCATCTGCCACTTCCCTGTAAATCATTCACTACAAATCCCTCAGCAGTTATTTCCTCCTTGTCTGGCCCCTGCATTTCACGCTGCGGCGTTGATAACCTGCGCACAGAAGAGAGAATGCCACTGCACCCGTGGCTGGTGCGGCACAGGGTGGGCTGCAATCACACTTTATCTCCCTCTTTTGCCTGCTCTAAATAAATACCTGAACTGCCACACTCAGAGGAGTTCACAGTGCTAGCTGGGCCTCGACATCTGCAGCGTGGGACAACCCTGGCAAAAAAAAAAAAAACAAACCTCCCCCCTGCTTGCAAAACCACTCGCACACAACGAGCCCTGGGGATCTCTGACACCTTTCCCCTGCCCTGTTTCCAGCTCAGAGCACCCCCCTCAGCTGCTCTGCCCGTCTCAGCCAGCCCTCCCGCCCTCTCACCACTTCTGCATCTCGCAGTTGGGGTTGCAGCTGTGGTTGATGAAGCGCGCCTCGTTGCCCATGCGGTAGCTGTCGATGACCATCCCGCTGTCCAGGTTCAGGCAGTAGTGGTCGCTGTGGTTGTGGTACTGCTCGATCATCCGGTTCCTGCCGACACACAGAGAGCCCCCCCCATCCCGTCACTCTGCCCGCCCCCACCCGCGGCCCAACGGGCGGTGACGCGGCCAGAGCACCCTCAGGAGTTCTCAGAGAGGGTTTGGAAGGAGAAAAGCGACGGTAAACGGTTTATGTTTTTGGTTTTTTTTCCCTCGAGAGGGAGGAAAGCCATGATTGTACCTATTTTTTTAATAAGTCAAGGCCACTGACAGAGGTTGGGTTAGAATTTAGAAAGCTACTCTTCTGGAACGCTCCCCTTTTGGGTTCTGCAGGTTATGTGTGTAAACATTTCGTGGTGATAACCTGCGTGTGGAAGAGAAAATGCAAGTATACACTCTTTGGGGTGTCTGTGTATGCACGTGGACAATGACCAGCTGCTTCCTGGGGGCTGGGCAGTTCCTGGAATCACATCCACGGATCACAAGGGCACAGTGACAGGAGTCAGTGCTAGTGGGTATCTCTGTATGAGGAGGCTGCAGCTGCCTTCTGGTGGAGCTCTGAGAGCAGCAGGTCCCTCCAACCTCAAATATCCCACGATGCTACGGAGTGAACAAGACAATCTCTTTCTTTCACTGGTTGTTAATGCTCCCACTTGGTTTTTTTCTTTTAACTTCACCCCCATCTACAAAAGTCCCTTCCAGCCCCACAGTTCTACCTGGCACAGTTCTCATTTCGGGTTCACAGTCACTCGTGGCATTTCACATTTACGGGGCAGATGAGGCACACGATTCACTCCAAACACTGACCACTCCTCTCCACTGGACTGAGAAAAACTTGATTGATCTGAAAATGGGAATTCTAAGCCTCCCTCCTGGCTGTGACCAGAACAGGATTCCTTATCCTCCCCTTTGCTGCTGTCTAAGGATATCCCACCCGCGACCAAACCCATTTATCGACCCCTTCCCACCCTAAAAGCAGCAAAATAAATATTTCTACCTGAATTCCTGCTCACTAACAACTTCTCCCAGATATTCAATGATAAACTGTCCCGCTTTCAGGGGCTCTTTGGTGCGGATGCCCCATCCTTTCTCCTCGGCCCGGAACCTCTCCAGGCACTGCACCCACTCGTGCCTCTGGATCCGCTGGTTACAGCACTGCTCCCCACAGGGGCAGGTGTTGGGGGAGCACTCTGCAAAGATCATCCTGCAACACACAACAGGGGAGGGGGAGAGCACGCTGAGAGCTGGGAAAGACATCAAGGAGGCAACAGCAGATGAAACGCCGAAGCAAAAGGCGCTGGGGAACCAAAAGGCTTTTTTTGTTTTCGAGGGGTTTTGGGGTTCCCGGCCTGGCTCTTGCTGATGTTCACAGGGCAAAGTGGAGCTTTTAATGGGGTCTTCCTCTGGGGAAGGGGAAGGGATTGTTAAATTGTTAATTTTAATTTCTCTGGCAGTGCTGAGGAATCCCCTGGAGCAGAGAGCTCAGTCTGGGGGGGTGTGAGTGGAACCCTGAGACGCTCACACTGGGAATTTTCCCTCCCAGCAGCAGCAGGAAGGAGCCTGAGCCCCTGTGACGGTGCCTCTCCTGCTGGGGTTTGCATCCAGCACTACTCTTTTGCTAAGAGACGATGTGAAATAACCCCTGGAAGCCGTTCTGACCTGTTCAGACAATCCTCCACACAGCCCTTGCCGCTGTCATCCTCTGGTTTCTTACAGTTGCAGGTGGTGGCCTCGTAGCCAGAGAGAGGTTTGACGTCCACGTAGACATCTGGAGGAGAAAAGAGAAAGGAAACAAACCCAAACAGGGGAAAGGATTCTTCCCCAGGTGAAAAACCCAGAACTGCTTATCTACCGTGTTTTTCATTCCAACGAAATAAAGCAGTAAAAATGCAGGTGGAAGTGCCTTTGGCAGGACAAAGAGCAGGACAGAAAGGAGGGGGTTGTCACGTGAAAATCCCACAATTACCAGTTTAGGAATAAGATCTTACTTACTAGAACGGATTTTTTTGTAAAGTGGGACATCTGGCTTTTTATACAACTGAAAGGAAGAGAAAGGAAATTTTAATACATTGCATAAGTGCATCTGTTATTCAAAAGGATCAGGGAAATGATGTTCTGTACGTAGGGAACAGTTCTGTAATCATTCCTAGAAATCTGCGTTCTCCTCCCTAGGCTCAGACTGCATTAGCAAATAGGTCACCAAGAGGATGTGAATAAGCAGAACTCGGGTTTAATGAGGCAGTGGAGCAGTTTGTCCACCCCATGGCTTGTTCTGTGTGCCCTGTCCCAAGGGCAGGCCCCTCTGGACAGGGCTGGAGATTATTTAAACCCACTCTGGGGAAAGTGGAGCTTTGGTGGAGCTTTCCCCACGTGCCAACAGCCTGAGAAAGCGAAAAAGAAAAATCAAGGTGCTCATCAAAGCTTATCAAAGTGATCTCAAGGGTCTTTTTCTCGTCTAAGGGATTCTCTGAACACTCTGAGCACAGGTGGGAGAAATGCAGATTCATCTCCCCATCGGAGGAACTTCCTCTGCAGATGGAGGTGGCAGGAGGGAAAAGGGAAGCTTACACCACAGTTGATGATTTCATACGTGTTCCAGCCTTTCAAACAGGCTCTGAGGGATAATTTCCAATTATTCCCTGTTTCACCCACATTTCCTGCACCAAGAGTGACACACAGGCACAACCCAGACCCCTGCACAGAGAAAACTCCTCTGCAGGGGCCTCTGACATTCCAGGGAGAGATGGAAAATGTCAGGGAAGCAGATTCCATGTATTTATTATTTATGGAATACGGAGCAGATGAGACAGGCAGATGCAACTCATCGTCCATATGCCACAAGAAAAGTGTCCTCAGCTGAAGTGTCCCCAACCCTCTCGACTCGAGGATCAGATTCCAGGGGCCACAGTACCTGGGAATTTGTCCTGCTCATTTACACGCTCGAGTTACACATTCTTGCCACAGAGCCAGGGGACAGATTCCCCCAGCAGCCCCAAATACTGTGGTGGAAACTTCTAAGGGGGAAAAAAAAAAAAACCAACAAAAACCCCAACCCCTCCTATCTTTAGGCTCGCATGTATTTAAAGCTCTTTTTTTAAAAAAAGAGAACGAGCCTGTTCGACAGTTTCTCCTCTTCCCCTCGGCACGAAAAAAAAAAATTTCAGCTTTGCAAGTGAAAAATAAATTCCACTCTGCTGGGAACCCGTCCAAGAAAAACAAGGCCCGAGATTTGTCCGTGCTGCTGCTGGCAGCACATCCCGATGATGATTCTCCCGAGGCCCCCGTCTGCAACCGGCACAGAGCGGCGCCAAAATAAGAGCCTGCAGCCCAAATTCCCGACTCCTGCCAGGCAGAAACTCCCGGGATCGCTATTTTGCAAGAGCTGGGATAATGGGAATTATCCCCACCGAACACATATGCAAATCCTTTCTCTCTCCTCCAGGAGATGTTCCCCCAGCAGGCAGGATGTGCAAACACAGCTCTCGTGCGCTGCTGATTCCCTTTCTAAGGTTCCTGATGGCAATCTTGGCAGCCCTGAAGCTTTTTATCTCCTACCTGGTTGTGTTTCCACTGCCAGAGGATGTCGTAAGGCAGCTGGAAGTCGATTCTCTTTTGTCTGAGGTACTTCCCTGGAACAGAAAGGTTGGTGAGTGGCACACGCTCGTCCCCACGTGTCCCCCGAGAGCGGCTCCGGGCACCTCGCCAGGGGCTGACAGGGCCTCTGAGCTCTGGAAGGGAGAGAGGGGAGCAGAAGCCTCCCAGAACATTCTGTCTGTCAGGGCAGGGCCAGGGAAGAGGCTCCAGGAGGTTGTGGCTGTGCTCTGCTCTCCTGCCCCTGGGCAGGGGGGACCTGCCATGGACGGGCAGGGGAGGGGTTGGCTCAGATTTGATTTGGGCAGGGACAGCAGCACTGAGAGGAGTGACCACAACACCTGAGAGAACTGACCACAACACCTGAGAGAACTGACCACAACACCTGAGAGGAGTGACCACAACACCTGACCCAACTGACCACAACACCTGAGAGGAGTGACCACAACACCTGACCCAACTGACCACAACACCTGAGAGGAGTGACCACAGCACCTGAAACAACTGACCACAGCCCTGAGCAGGGACACCACCACCTGAGAGGAGTGACCACAGCCCTGAGAGGAGTGACCACAACACCTGGCACAACTGACCACAGTCCTGAGAGGAGTGACCACAACACCAGACACAACTGACCACAACACCTGAGAGGAGTGACCACAACACCTGAAACAACTGACCACAACCCTGAGCAGGGACAACACCACCTGAGAGGAGTGACCACAACCCTGAGCAGGGACCACAACACCTGAGAGAACTGACCACAACACCTGAGAGGAGTGACCACAACACCCGACACAACTGACCACAGCCCTGGGAAGTGACACCACCTGACCCAACTGACCACAGCCCTGCACCTTCTCCATGGGACACCTCCAAGCTTCTCCTGAACCCTCCTGGGCACATCCCAAAGCTTCAGCCCAGGACAGAACCTGCTGCCCTGCCCCAGCAAGATGGTAAATCCCCACAGTGCACTCAAAGAAATCAAACCAGTTTTAAAAATAGCCTCCCAGCCTGCTCCTGTGACCTTTACCAGCAGAGATTTAAGAATGAATTCAGACTTGGCAAACACGTTCCCGAATGTTTTGGAAAGGCTTCAAGATGCTCTGTATTTTCAGCAATAACTGAAACTGTTTCAGGCAGAAACTGGTGCTTTCACTGCAGATTCTGGCTGTGCTCTGACATTCCCTGTCACCCCAAAAAGGACACTGACCCATGACATCACTCGTACCAGACCCCAGGGCCGACACTGGTGAGTTCCAGCCAAGATTAAACATCCTCTGCTCGCTTTGCTGGAATCCTGTGTCCCAAAACTGCAGTGAGCAGGATGAGGTGTCGCTCCCAGGTCTCATTTTCCCAGCTTCCCTCACTCTTTAACAAGTGCCTTTATGTTCCATGTAAATTCACACGCACTCCCCTCTCCACTGGAAAATCAAAATGGTAATGTTTTCCTTACAATTCACCCCTCAACTACTCTTCATTTTCAATGCCTTATTCATCCCTAGCAGGTTCCAGGAAAGAGCTAAATCTGCTGGGAATTTGCTTTCACTCCTGTGACCTCAGCAGCCCAAACAAAGGGCTCTTTCAGGTGCCCTGGCAGCGAGCCTGGAGCAGGGGAAGGTCCCTTTTCTCCTCCCCCCACTCCCTCAAGTGCAGTGCCCTGGCAGAGTCCCAAACGTGGTCAGTGCTCTGGGGTTAAAGCATCCCCAGTGGCCAGGATGGAGCCAGGGGAGCAGCTCAGCTCCAGGGGTTGGGAATCTGAGCGTCCTGGAAGATGCCTCGGCCGCGGGAAGCTTTGATGATCCTCCCTCTTCAAACAGGAACTCGACAAGAG